AATCATTAATGTCATTGACTCTGTAATATTTCTTCACCAATTGTTTATCATATCTATCAAATTTTTAATTACTTTTTGAGATAATAAAGTGATATTTGACATTTCTTTGGAATGATAATCCAACTATACCCAGTTACACCTCTATAAATTAGGACAATCGAGATTAGAGAAATTCTATTAATTTCACAAATTATATGTTTGATTATCGGGTTAGTAATTTAACATATTTTCTATGAGTTGGGTCTGAAATAAATTATTATCTATGCAAGATTATTAATATATTGAGATTCTATTGCATAATGGATATGAATGTTTTCAACATCTAAATTTTATCTACATTATATAAAGGCAGTGGTAATTATTAATTTATCGATTAATTAATATTTGATTAAATTAATAAAAAAAATTATTATTAATAAAAAAAATGTAAAACAAGAGTAAAGCAATATAACAAAGGGGGCAACTATTTTGAATACTAACTTTTGCTTAGTTGAATACTACCTAGTTGAAAACCACAATTGAGTACATATTTTTAAGTTTTTTCTTACTTTAATACCAACATAAAAATAAAAGTACAAAAATACCCTTTCATACAAAATACTAATTACATTAATTTTTCTTTGAAATTACCTATTTGAAAACCAAATAAAAAAAAAAAAAAAAAAAAAAAAATCAAACACAAAAAACTCCCTCCGTCAACCTCCCTCCGTCCACGCCGCCCGACGCCGCCGCCGCCGCTCCAACCATCGCCCCCGCCGGACGCCGACGCCAAACACCGCCTAACGCCGCCCACGCCGCCCAACGTCGCCCAAAGCCGCCGCCGTCGTCGTCTTCGAATAGTAAGTTATAGTTGTTTCGATTTTTTTTTTCTGAAATATTTATTTAAGATTTGAATGTTTGATATGGGTAATTAGGATTTGGTTGTTTTAGGTTAGAATGATCGTTAATTAGTAATGGGTGCATCTGATTTCAGTCGATTTGAGCATTGATTTGAGATTCGTGGGTCGGTTCTTCGTTCTCCATTTTCGACCTGTACATGTCGAATTTCGATGAATTTTCGACAGGTTGTTGTCGAAAATTCATCCAAAATCGACATGTAGATGTCGAAAATGGTAAAAATGTTGAGTTTGGTTTTTGTAATTTTCGACAGTTAACTGTCGAAAATTACCCCATATTTCGACAGGTTTCTGTCGAATTTGAACTGTGTTATTTTTTTATTTTATTTTATTTTTTTTTCTTCCTATTTTTATTTGCTTGTGTTTATATTATGTATATTAATTTTTATTTGTGTGTTATTTTGCAGTGGAAGAACCACGTCAACCTCGTATACCTCCGACTGTCTCGAACCGTAAAAAGAGGAAGGAATTATCCGATAAAGGCAAGGGCATAGCAGTCACGACCAAGAAAAAGACCACGACCAAGAAGAAGTCTGGAGAGGGTTCTTCGTCAACGAATCCGGTGCCGGCTCTACATTCGACTGTACAAGTTGGTGATTCGAGCAATGAACCGGTCCTAGGTCCCGAGATACCGGAATTGTACACAAAATTTGATAAGCACATTGCTTATCATATTGTGAACGGAGGGCCAGATCGTTCGGAGCGCGGCTCAGAATTTCGAATACGAAATCACACAACAACTTTGAAAGGTTGGGAGCCGGCGCCGTTTATTAAAGAGGTAGTACAAAGATGTGGTTTAATGTCAGTTGTACAGGCATCGTACAACACTGTGGACGGCCATCTACTTAGAGCCTTCGTAGAGAGATGGCAGCCAGCTACCAACACATTTCACTTACCTGTTGGAGAGATGACCAGGTACC